CATAGGCTATATCGCATAGTTTTACTCATTCCTGCAACTTTTGACTTTAAAATGATGGATATTCACACATTTATTCAATAGCCTATAGCATGTAGGTTTGATGAGTAAATAATCAAACCTACAGACTGAGTCCAGTCCCCACAGACTGATCAAATTCAGCTGTATGCGTCTTCTCTCTTTTACTTTCTCTTCAAACGGCTTCACATCGACGCATCTTGTCTGCGCTACAAGAGCAGCTGCACGCTGCAATACAAGACTTTCACTCGCTTTTTGGGACAGTTGACAGAATAGTCACTTGCCTAATCGGGTCATTGCATCGTCAGAAAATGTTATTATTTATTTGCATGTCTTTTTAAGCCATTCGGTACTCGCGCGCTCCAGAGGCGGTGCGCAGTCACATCCAAAGTGCGCTCGTGCGTATATGAGTATTGAGTTTGCTACCAAATAAGCTCAGCAGAACCCTGCACGGGCCTCAAACATATGCCCTAGTCCGGCCCTTATCCGACATATTATCAGAATTACTGGCCAAGTCCGACTGGAGCCCGTGTCTTTTTTCTCTTTCTCTCTTCCCCAATTACACAGCTGCTGTTGTAGCCATTAAGATAGTTCAGTTTCGTTTTTAATGGCAAAAGTGGTTATATTTTCGTTTCTTTATGACGTTAATTTAGACATATGTTTGGAAAATGTTTTTGTTTGTTAAATTCAAGTTTTAGTTTTTTTAAAGTAACGACCAAGCGGCCAGTGGCAAACAGTGAGTTAATCATAGCCTATGTTTGATCAATTTAGCCTTTTCAAATCATCACCACTTGACTAAAATAAAATCTATAGGCCTATATAAAATGCTTTTAAAAAACAATGTTAGTTTAAATGGTTAACCTAGATAAATGTGTGCTATTAGGAGCGTATCCAATCGTTTGTGCAGAGAAGCTAAAGCACACTTTGGAGTCGCCAGCACGATCACTTGCATTTTTTTCTTATAACAGTGGAAACAACCAGTCGTTTTTGCTCATAAAAGTAAGAGTAATACATCATTTGGGACTGTTAAGGGTCTACTTTTATTTGTGTGCACTCACAATATCAGCATACGTTGTGCTTTTTAGAAAACAAACAGGATTTCATCCCCATAATAATTGATGGATATCTAAAATATAAACATAAGGAGGAAGCAAGCCTGATGCCTGGCCCGTGTCTGAGCTATGACGTGAAAATTGTACATACATAAGTTGGGCCGTTGGGCTCGGGCTGAAATGCAGGGCTCTAAAGAACCTGTGTGCTTGTTGCATTTAAGCAGCAAAAATACACACAAAATGACACCAAAATGGCCATCCATAATAAATTATAATATTCAGTGATGTGAAATGTGGAGTAAGGTCTGGCGGAGTTGCAGCTTGTACTTATTACTAAAACAAGAAAGCAAACGAGTAGCATTAATAGTCATTCATTTTAGTTAACATATGCTATGATAATTTGAACAGATTTTTATTCTTATTGTAAAATAATGGAACATTTAGGTCATGAATATTGTCTCAAAAGTCATGGAAAAGTCATGGAAATGTATTGGTAAAAATGTGTACGAACCCTGTTTCAAATACACCTACTGCAGCAGTCTACAGATAAAAAAGATCAAAGTTATATTTTTTATTTGTCAAAATTGCTGTATAAATTAAACTCTGTTTAAATGGGACATTTCACATTTGGCATATTTCATATAAAGAATTAAGCCTATTTTAGGATCAAATTTATAATTTTTTTCTTGAATTGTGACATTGATGAAAATTAAAGCCATTTTTCCATAAATTACCAGAATGCGTTCAGATTTTACTTTTGAGTTCCCATTAGATTTTGATTAATGTATTACAGTAAAAGAATACAATAATGCATTTTTTTTTTTATGAATTGTAGTTTAAATTTTGCAGTATAAAGTAATACTTTGTGTAAATAAAATCAAAATATGTTTAAATATATATAAAAAACATTATTTTAGATATTACAAATACAATAATGACAATGTTTTACAGGGTTTCTGCAGGTTTTATGGAGGTAAATTTAAGATTTTTTCAAAGACCTTTTAAGGTCAAGTAAAGAAAGTTTAAGGAATAAATTGAAGGGAACACAATGTCAATATGTTTTCTAAAGGTAAATGTCTATGGAACACACAATGTGTTGTATTAGCAATACTTAGCACTTTAAAACACAATCTCCATTATTCATTAATTTCACTCAAATCATTTTACAAAAACAAAAGCTTAAATAGCTCTGCTCCCAAATATGGAATACAGAAATAACTTTTACTTTTACTTTTGATCACACTGCAATGAAGTGATGTTCTTTATGAATATTTTTGTCTTGTTTTCCAATGTAAATTTCTAAATATTCTTAAATCAAGATACATTTTCTGTAGATGCAAAATTACATGCAAAATGCAAAATGACATATGAAGTCTTGCTGCAAATATCTGTCATATGGAGTCAGAAAAAAAATCTGCTTAATTTGACTGACAGATCTGCTCTTGTTTTAAGAATAAACTTAATTTGGTTCCATTTCTCAGAAAACAAATTCATATCATCTTTTTCCTTCAAAAGTAAATGCAATGTAAATCAGAAAATTGATTTAAGATTATTTAGATATTTGAACTGAGAAAACAAAACAAAAAAATACTGAGGAAGATATTCTCTTTTTTTGTTGCAGTTTATGCAACATTTAATGCTATGATTACACGAATTTAAGGCTTTCTGCTCTGATTTAAGGACTTTTTAAGACCAGCAGAAACCCTGTTATAATGATAATATGATAAATATCACAATGAAAAATTCACAATCACAGTCCTATAAATAGGCTTGATCTTATTTATGCTATACATATTATTTCTTCATTTTGATTTGGGGTTAAAATATGTCTTGTTTCACTTTTGTAAGATCTGCCCTGCAATGCAAATGCTCTAAGCTGAAGTCTGCATGTTGTATTCTTTATGGATTTGGACTGTGATTAGATTTCTAAAAATGTCAACTGTTAACTGGGTGAAACTGGTCTGATACCCAACCCATACTCCTCTCTCTACTACTGTAGTTTATGTTCTATCTATAAAAGAAATCATGAGCTGAACCTTGGACCATCTTTATATAAATGATTCAGCTTACTACAGCTTGCGCATAAAGTGCTTTCTAGTTGCCCAGAGCCCGAGAAGTAAAAATATACCCTCTCTTAAGCAGCTAACTGTCATTTAAATGTCACACACTCATCAGATGTGGGCACGCCATGATGGTTATGTATCTACAGCCATAAAGATTTTATGCCATCCATTATGCATAAAGAGTTTATTTAATTATGAGGGCAAAATGTGATTGTCCTCTGCCTTTGGATTCCTTTTTATAGTCGTCAGTTCACCCTGTGAATAAACCAGTTTTGTGCCTGGAATATAAATAGACCATGTGTGTTGATGTGTGCAAGTCTGTGTCTCCATATATACCATACTATGTCCTATAAATCAATCGGTGCCCCTTTTAGCTTTTTAAACTGGCAAACAAAAACACTTAGGCAAAGTCACAAGTATATTTGTTCCAATTAATTACATTAAAGGTCTAAACTAAGACACCATTTGCTCCAGAAAATTCATTTGAAAGGCTTCAGTCACAACGGACCCCCAAAATAGCAAATTAATATATTAATGATCTTATAAATCTTAGCAGGAGCGCTGCATTTCCATCCGGGCCATTTATACAAACAACAGAGTTGGCATTTGTTCCCATGCACTCTGCAATTAGTGCAAGCTACGGCTATCCAAAAGTCATCTATTTTTAACACTATTGTGCTAATTCACACATCTTCATAGTGACCCATAAACTGTGCTATATGATGAGGATATACTGTAGGCTAGTTAAAAGGTCTACAGTAGTGACCTTTCATAAACACAGAGATTATTTCCATCACCATTTAAAAATATTCTTTCTGAAATATGTGATATGTGGCCATGAATACATATTAAAAAAAATGTAATGTGTAAAATTCATGCGGCTTCCCTTAGAAGCACCACCTAGAGTCGCTAACGTGTCACTAGAGTTAAATTACAGTGGTATTTATAAACATTTTACTTCCGTTTACCTAAGTATGAGCAAAAAAGTTGGTGTATTATTTTATCCTTCAGGAATTAGATTTATTACCATTTAAAATGTTTCTACTATTTTAAAATGTAAATTTAAATTAATTTTCAGTAGCATTCCTCCAGTCTTCAGTGTCATGTGATCCTTCAGAAATCATTCTAATATGCCGATTTAGTGCTGTAGAAACATTTCATATCAATGTTGAAAACAGCTGTGCAGCGTAATAGTGGAAACTGAAACATTTGAATAGAAAATTCAAAATAACAGTATTTATTTGAAATATAAATCGTGTCAGGAGTGAATTCCAGGTTTGTGTGTGTAAAGAAACAAAAATCACTTTTGAAGTTGCGATGATTGACACCGTGGTAACCATAGCAACATTTTGGCATCTTAGTTTTGGTAATATTACAGTGACCAAAGACTCATTATGCTCAGAGATTTTAATTAAACCATCGTCAACAGAGCTGTCATGTTTTGTTTATGTTTGGAAGGTTGCTTGGCAGAGCGCGCTCTTGAAGGGTTGCCATGTCCACTTATTATAAGCAACACTTTTTTAAGCCTCTTCGGGTTTGTTGTTTGGGCACAGCTCATAAAACAATCCAGTTTATGGAGTTAATAAAGTAGGCAAGCCCAGGTCGCAATATTTTGGTATGTGGCTTATTTCCAAGATAACACATTTGGATTTAAGTTTATTATGGCCTTGTTCTTATTTGCTATTTTTTATAGCAAGATCCACTTACACTAATGAGTCAAATCGTACCTGGTTCACTGTGATTTCTTGCACTGCACATGCAGAAAAGAGACACAAATCTGATACGCATTTAAATACATCATTAACAACTAGTTGTTCAGTTCAGTCCATTACAAACTGTGTAGAATTTCTGCAAATGCGGTTGTACTCACAAGTGGTCGGCTTGTTGCAGTTGTGTCCATGTCGAAAGTACTGCGGGTTCTCGATGACAGGAATGCGACTCATGCCGATTACGACGGCATCAGGTCCCGCATCGAGAGAGCAGGGTGTGACAATACCATGGTTGACATGATGAAGAGGGCTTGCAGAGTCTTCCTCACCGCTGATGACTGCCACTGGGCCTGTAGAGCAAGCACAAAGTAATGATAAACCTACAACAGATTGAATGTTTTTTTGAAGTATTGAAAAATACAAAGATGGCTTTGATCCAAATCAAGCTCTGATTACTGTCTTTGTAAAGAGCCAAAGGAGACATTAGACTTTAAACACTAGCTAAATGGGATGACTTAACAACCATCGGCTCATTTCACAACATTAAACCTTCACAAGACTACAAAGACGTCAAAATCGCTTTCATCAAGTTTACGTGTTTATTCATTGTGAAATTGACTGGTTGAAAATCATCTAAATTTGCCGCCTGAGGGAAAGCCATTGAGCCGAACTGGGGAATTGGGAAGGAAGGAGGGTGTTACTGCTGGTAAACATATCATTTTCAACAAGCCCACCTCAAAACAGGACTCTTCAAAACAGCCGATTGTTCACAAGCATACTCAGGGGACCGGTTTAAATATGGCCAACCAAACAAATGATCAACACAGAGGGACTGAAGTACTGAATGTCGTCTCCTCAAATGTCTAAAATCTGTCTGTAATGCTTCAGACTTGGACAGATATCTATAAACCCACCTAATGAGCATTATTTCACTGAATTCATTCCAAGCTGAGCTCTTGGCGGTTAATGTTTGATGTGAAATTCTGTTATCCTAATGTGAAAATGAATCCCATTTATCTGAAAACCCAGATTTTCTAATGAAAATCTCTATAGCTCTGTTCCAAAACCTAGTGAGCTGCCTTTCTGAGGGCTGCAGCAATGAGTCCTAAAATCCACAAATAGAATTTCTGGTTCCATCGTCCTGATGTCAGTGGGTTTTTGGTTAAATGTCTGAAATGACCTCATGGTATGTTTGCGTTTCATTCTACAACATGAATATATCAGTAATATCCCACTCGTGATTTAAGCTTTTACGTTTCTTAAAAAGGTGGCAAGTGATCAAATTGAACTAGAGAGCTGGTTGAGAACATTAAATGTCATCACGACAAACAGGCAAATTCACTTTTACAGCCTAGTTATGTTTATAATGGAGCTCTTGCAAACTCTAATTTCTCAAATTTCAACTCTCACTTTGTAACTTGTAGATTTTAAATAAAGATTGAACGAGTTTAGAGCTTGGTGGTAGCGTCACTGAGGTCATTTATCTGCTGTAGTTTATAGCTTTAGCTGTTTACTTCTGACCATTGTATTTAGACTTGAGAATTCATGAAAGTTTTCAGCCAGTCTCAATTTTCAGTCTCACATTTCAGCCAGTCTCAATGTAGCACAGCAGCCCAGCCAAATGCAGTCTAAGTCAGTTGTGCAACATTCAAGTGAATGTGTTGATGCTTTTAACTTTAAAGTCATTGTCCAACATGATGTTACACCTCCACCTTTCTTTAGGGGTGATAAAAGTGATTAATTTACTGTGCATGAATGGGAAGACATGATATACAGTTATTTGAACAGTAAGAAATGCACTGATGACACTGAACACAGCAGCCCAGCCAAATGCAGTCTAAGTCAGTTGTGCAACATTCAAGTGAATGTGTTGATGCTTCTAACTTTAAAGTCATTGTCCAACAATGTTACACCTCCACCTTTCTTTAGGGGTGATAAAAGTGATTAATTTACTGTGCATGAATGGGAAGACATGATATACAGTTATTTGAACAGTAAGAAATGCACTGATGACACTGAAGCCTCTGATATCATCTTGAGCAGATTAGCAGGGAAAGCGAGGGATGTTGTCAAAGTGTCTTTGCGCAGTTTCCCAGGGCCGACCGCTACAGTGCTCCCTTGTACAGTGTTTGACATTCTGAAACGAAATTTCAGTGAGTTGACATATTCGAACATGCCTATGGCTGACTTTTACAACATGTTCCCTAAGACAGATGAGAGCTCAATGGACTATTGGATATGATTGAATAAGGCAATTGATGTGGCTGATGTTTGCGTAGGCGCAATAAGTGCGTTGAAGACCCTGCAGCTGAAGCTGTAATGATGTTTGTCTCTCACTGTCCAGATCCTGGCCTTGCTTTGTCTTTTCAGTTCAAGTCTGCTGAACAGTGGAGTGCTGCTGAGGTTCAAGAGAACTTCACGCTACTTACCTGTGTCCGCTTACCATCAGAACACTGTGACAGTCAGTGATGATCCTGTACCCAATTATCCCAAACAGCCCAAACTCTCATCAGGTCAGTCACAATGCTCAAATGATCAGCTCAACCCCAAAACATCTCCTTTTACTCCGAATGCTAGTATGCAGCAGTTGGTTGGCATGATGGATAAAGTTTTATCGCTATGCACTGCCTCACTGTCCCCGTCTCATCCTGGTAGAACTGTCAAAACTTCAGATCCCAAGTCCAGTGTGAGTTCAACATGTAGAGTGTGTCAGTCTACAGAGCACACCACGTATGCTCACTGCATGCGCCATAGGCTTTGTCGTAACTGCCTCAAACCTGGACACTTTAAGAGTAATTGCTCTGAGACGGCAGGCCTTGAACCGCTTTCTCCTACCACCCAGTTAAACTAAAAAGCCCATGAGTGGAGGGGGTAAGCATGGGCAGTGGTGAACTTCCCCTAAATGATGAGTCAGACCCACAAGAATTTTTTGTAAATAGTTGCAAGTTGTTGCCACCTGACAAAATCATGCTGTATGGGGGATCTCAAAAAATGTATGGCGCTAGTGATCTGTTCTATGCTCCTGTGACTGTTGGTGGCCAGTCCGTACTGAATGGTTTGCTTGATTCAGGCAGTATGGCTTGCACCCTGAGTACGGAAGGTGAATCCAAGTTGCGTGTCAATGGAGTTCTCCCTCAACCCTCAGTGATTCCTGGTAACATGGTCCTCGTTGGCTGTGGTGGTCTTACTATTCAGCCTAAGTGCACATATGACCTGGAAGTCGAAGTCTACGGATTTAAGTTCATCGTACCTACTTTACTAGTACCTGAACAGAAGGACGAGTTCATTATCGGCAGTAACGTCAACAAATGTGTGCTTCAGAAGATGAAAACCAAAAAGAAGTACTGGGAGCTCATGTCCTGTCAAAACAGCAACCCAGAATGTGAACAGTTTCTCGAGCTTTTGAGCTGTGTTTCCCGTTGTTCTGATTCCCCTCAAACTGAAAAACTTGGCTCAATGAAGCTTTGTCAACTTCAACAGTCACTTTACTTCCCAGGAGTGAGCACCTTGTGTGGGCAAAATTACCTGCCAACACTCATATTTCCCCAGGTAGCACGTCATTGTTGAACCCACTACTTCACATTCAAGACCACGTCATGTTCTTTTTGGACGTGTTGTGTCTCCTATGTGGGGTGATCGATGGGTACCGATGAAGATTCTGAATCCTACCCAGTCTCCGATAACTCTTGGACATAACACCAAGCTGGCAGATGTGTCCCCTTGTCTGGCAGTGGAAGATGTTTCTCTGGGTGTATCGATGGGTGTGAAGTCTCTAAGTCATGGAAGGAGGAGTTGGCGAGTCTTACAGTGTCCTATCACGGTGTTTTCTCCAGAGACAGACTTGACTGTGGAGAGGCGAAAGACTTCATACACAGAATTCATCTGTGCGATGAGCGCCCGTTCCGCCTGCCTTATCGCCGAATCCCTCCCGCCCACTACCAAAAGTTGAGAGAGGTTCTTTCTGAAATGGAAGAGAAATGCATTATTAGTAAATCCGTCAGCGAATATGCATCTCCTTTGGTAATGGTTTGGAAGAAGGATGGATCTATGAGAGTCTGTACTGATTTTCGCTGGCTTAACGCGAAGACTATCAAGGATGCTCATCCTTTGCCACACCAGGCAGATTGCCTGGCTGCTCTTGGTGGCAATCTTCTTTTCAGCTCTATGGACTTAACATCAGAATTTTACAACATCCCATTCCATGTGTCTGAACGGCATTACACAGCGTTCACAACACCCATGGAATTGTATGAATATAACCGCCTTCCCCAGGGCCTGTGTAACAGTCCGGCATCCTTTATGTGCATGATGCTCAGCATTTTTGGAAATCTCAACTTTTGATTTGCTGATTTTTGCCCATTCTGAACAGGAGGCCTTGAAACGCTTGGAAGTGGTGTTTTCTAGGTTGAGAGCTAGTAATCTGAAGTTGGCTCCATCAAGTTTCTGGCCATGTGATCAGCAGTTCTGGAGTTTCTGTGGATGAAGACAAAGTAGCAGTAATTTCTGCCTTTCAGAAGAAAGATCTCATGAAAGAGGATGAGGCTTCACACCTTCGCCAAAGAAAATAAGATCATTTCTGGGCATGGTTCTGTACTACCAAAGCTACATCCCTGGATGTTCACGAATCGCAAAGCCACTGTTCAATTTGACGGCTGGACAAAAACATTTGGCGAGAGGCACAAGCAGTCGTAATAGAGCTGGCACTTTCCGCGAGTTGTCTCCCTAAGTCTGGAATCCTGTCTGTGATGTCGCCTTTGAGGAGTTGAAAAGAGCCCTTGTCCAGAGTGTCGTGCTCGCTCACCCTGACTTTGAGCGCCCCTTTATTCTCTGCACTGACGTGTCGTTGGATGGCCTAGGTGCAGTGCTTTCTCAAGTTCCCATTGGCGAGGATAAAGCACGTCCTATAGCCTTCGCCAGCAAGTCTCTGAGCCGCAGCCAAGCCAATTACCCTGCAGAAAGACTGGAGTTCTTGGCTCTCAAGTGGTCCATATGTGACAAGTTCAGCCATTGGCTTAAAGGCCATGAGTTCACTGTATGGACTGATAACAACCCGCTCACGTATATAATGACCAAACCTAAGTTAGATGCATGTGAGCAGCGCTGGGTTTCAAAGCTTGCCCCATACAATTTTAAAATCAAGTATGTCCCTGGAAGGTTGAATGTGGTGGCGGATGCGCTCAGTCGTGACCCATTTGTCAAGCCAGTGAGTCAACGTGTTCTGTCCGAACCTTACTCTGAACTGCTGAAGCATGTACACAGTATGGAAGATGATTCTGTGCAGAAAACATTCCGTCTTACATGCCAGCCACAGACACTTGACACTGAACTCAACCAAAGCTCTGAGAGGGATATTTCCATGACTGCTGAAGATGTGTCGTCTATCTTGTCATCTTGTGATTCAGGAACTGTATCCAGAGCAACATCCCTGGCTGATCACTTGAGTTCATTGATTCCCGACTGTCAAGATGTAACCCATGCCTTTTCATTGTCTGAATTGCAGAGTCAGCAGCACAATGATTCAGTTATTTCAACGGTGGCCTTTTATGTCAGCAGAAAGCACAGAACTTCCAGGCGTGAGCGTACAAATTAGGATTTGCATGTTTTAAGATTGTTGAAGCAGTGGGACAAACTGTTTTTGCTTAATGACATTCTCCACCGAGCCGTTAAAGATCCACTCACGAAGCATAAGAAGTTTCAGTTTGTTCTGCCTGATTCCCTGAAACAGCAAGCTCTTTCTGGTGTTCATGATTTGGCCGGTCACCAAGGGCAGCCCCGTACCCAGTCCTTAGCTCGCCAGAGGTTCTATTGGCCTGGGATGGAACGTGATGTGCGTGATTATGTCAAGACTTGTACCCTTTGTGTCCTAAGTAAAACTCCAGAGCCAGCGGCAAGAGCAACCTTGGAGAGCATCAAGACCACTGCCCCATTGGAGCTTGTTTGCATTGATTTCTGGGCTGCTGAGGATAGGCACAATAAATCTGTGGATGTCTTGGTAATCACGGATCATTTCACCAAGCTAGCGCACGCATTTCCTTGTCGAAACCAGTCTGCTACTTTGGGATGGCTTCTTCTGCATTTATGGCTTTCCTCAGCGTCTCCATTCGGACCAGGGTGCCAGTTTTGAGAGCAAGATGATAGCAGAACTTCTTGATCTTGCCGGTGTAGAGAAGTCACGAACATCCCCATACCATCCAATGGGAAATGGCGGAACTGAATGGTTCAACAGAACACTGGGCAACATGCTACGATCCCTTCCTCCTAGATCAAAACAAAAGTGGCCACAGTTAGTGCAAACAATGACATTCGTGTGTAACTGCACCGCCCATGAAACAACTGGGTTTACCCCTTTTTACCTGATGTTCGGGAGGGTGCCAAGATTACCTGTTGACCTTATGTTTCAAAGTATCCTTCGTGATGAGTCCATCTGTGATTACAACGAATAAGTTCAATCCCTTGTCAGAGATCTGCAGACTGCTATGCTGCTGACTCAAAAGAACTCTACTGCAGAACAAAAACATCAGTCTGATCAGTACAATAAGAGAGTCAAGGGTTTACCTTTGTCAGTTGGTGATCACGTTCCTGTTGCTAACAAAAGCTATAGAGGTAAACGGATGCTTGCCGATAATGGGAGCCCACCATGTACTCCATTGTTTCTTCCAACCCATCTTTGCACATTTATAAGTTCCGTGACATATCTGGTCGAGAGAAAGTAGTACATCGGAATCTCTTGTTGCCAGTTAACTTTCTCCCTTTGCCCACGACTGAGTTTGATTTTGCTGTCAGTGGAAATATTGGTAATGGTACATCTTCCACACCTCAGTCTGTATGTGATCTGGCTGAATCCACAATGCCAGTCACTGATGAATTGTCTCTGAGTCTCTGTCTGTCATTTCTCATGTAGCTGTTTGTGATGATCCTGTTGCTGCTTGGATCTCATCCCATTCTACTCAAACTGTTTCTGAGGCACGTGATGATTTATCGGTTGTTGACTTTGACACTGTAGCCAGTGCCTCTTCACCTACTGTTCCTGTTTCTAACAATTCACATGATCTTGTGGTTCACTGTGACTCCAGCAATCGCTATACTACCAGGTTTGGTAGGGTAATTAGACCTGTACGTAGATTAATTGAGTCAATGGTTCAACTTGAGACCTTACTTGGTATGGAGTCTGGATCTCCTGTTATTCATGTTTAGGTCTGTGTATTGTATTGCACTGTCTTTAATGATACTAAGTGTTATTTCATGTATTCTCTCATGTTCTGTTTAAGCGAATGGTCTGAGTTATTCAAAGTGTAATGGGCACTTTGTGTATGCCTACAACATGTGTAGAGGTTTGGCCAACTTCTTTCATATTTGTATCCCGTGGTTGGCTTTCAATGCTGATTGTCCTCACTGATTGTTTGGTGTGTGGACCACGTAATTCTTGTGGGGGTCTTTTCCCATGTTCTCATAATTTTGTGTAATTCTAGGGGGTTGAATGTAACAGGTATAGAAAGTATTACGTTCATATATGTAGAATTACACAAAAATGTTCAAATGTGTACCTGATATGCCTGTCTGTATGTGTGTGCACCTTCCCCTTTAAATTTCTAAATGCAATGTTGATCCTAATTTCCTGTCTTTGCGCCTCCTTTTCCCTTTCTGCGCTGTCTCTGCATGGGAGAGGCGGGTTTCTAATGAGCTCTGATTAATCCAAGTACATCTTTTTATTTTAAATTACTTTTGTACTTAAATCTGCCATCTAAATCATATACAAGACATTGTTTTTCATGTATATTTTATTATTTTTGTATTTTTATCAAGTTGGGTCACTTTTTTGTCCGATGTGAACTGGAAGCACATGCTAATTACATTACAATTTACATTCGTCTTACAGAAACTAAAAAGGGCGAATTCACACCGTATATACATACTCTTATGTCTTATCAGGTATGCTGCTTTGTTACTAATGTTGTTAAATTAATTTCATTGCTGAAATGTCTCTGCATGGGAGAGAAACGAAAAAGGGTGAATTCACATCGTACATACATACTCTTATGTTTTATCAGATTAAAGAAGAGTCGAACCGTCATCTGATGTCCGTCTGATTAATGCATAAAAAAACCCAATGCAGACTACACCGGTTACACACACACACACACACACAAGAAATACAAGGTAAAATAGTCGCTTTTTAATAAGATTAAAATATATTTATATTCCACATCTCCATAAGCCATCCTGGAATAATGTTCACGTAGTCAAGATCCATTCTGGTTTTGTCCTCTCTGTGAAGGATACACATCATGCAAATTGACCAAATGTAGAAATCTTCAAAGCCCGCTTAAGTCTTTGTGCCCAAGATGCTTTCAAATGCTGTCTAGCAGCTCACTAGGTGAGTTTGTCACATTCTGTGAATTTCGAAGGCTAACATCAGAAATAATAGTTTTTCATCAAATCAATAAATCTCACCATCTCTTGTGTCAGTAGCAGTTGAAGAGACCTGAATTTTTTTTTTTCTCACCTTGAATATCTCAGGGTTATGGAGCATTGCCCAGACTTGTAGGTGTAACCCCCGCAAATACAACCCTAGGTGCAAGGTGTGTGAAGTCTTGCCATAACGGCAGAGCCAAAGGCAAGACACAAACACCAGACTGAAAGTGACATGGCTTGCTTATTCGTGTTGAATTTATTAGGCTTTGAATAAAAAACTCTGGGAGAAAAGCTGGAGCATATTTTTATTCTACAAGAATGCTCAACCTACTAAGCGCATCATACACATTTATTTTGTCTTTAGCCACTGATGTTAATGGGATGAATCTCACAAAATGCCAAGGTAATTTTGCCCTAAAAATTTTTTATTGAATTAAGAAAATTAAGTATATTTTAAGACTTTGTGACATAATTTTCATTACAATTAAATACATTTACCCTAAACATATTCTCACTAGAGGTAATATATATGTAAATATATATATATATATATATTTCATTTTTTTTAAATGAATTAATGAATTAATTAAAACATTCTCATTAGATCTGGATGTTATGTTTTTGATGTTT